GACACGCTGACTGATACAGGAAACTCCTCATATAACACGATATTTTTATAACACTGTTTCCATATACATAGTACGACTTAATAAATTTGGACAACCCTCATATAGCACGAATTTTTCCATTACACTATTTCGGTTAAAATGAACAGGAAATTCCCCTTGTATAGATAAGAACGACGTTCGAATAGTTTACGAGGTTTTATAAAGCATATTTTAGTCAATTATTCAGATATCACGAAAAAGCATTTTTTTATTAATATTACCATAGAAAGGTCTTGGTCTAAAAAGACCAGTCGATGACCGTCCACGTAACTGTTTTACCGACGCTGTATGAGTGTAACCCCTTGTCTTATGATTTAATTCGTAACAGCTCGTGATATACTCGGCGAAAAATTGGCTCATACGTTTTACACGTGCCATTGGAGTGGACTGACAACGAATGCGATACACAATTTGCGATGCGATGAGAATACTTTTGCAAAAAGTGAATCGTGGATCTAATTCGTGTTTCTTATGTTTGACCTGTAAAACATATCACAAGTCTCACACGATATTATAAGGCGAGGGGTTAAGCTGTGTCTACATTATATGTATAACATAACACGTTATATAGGAAAGTTATACAAATTTTTAGAAAAAGAAAAAGAAAAATATTGTGACATTATATTACATATTTTTTTTGTTATACAGCAAATTATATGTTATCCATCAAGTGTTAGTAAAGATCAAAGATAGTTATAAAACCTTGTTTTTCTAATACATGTTGCCAGTCGGCCCAAACCAGTGTGATACTGGTTATAAAACATTTGCAAACAGCTCATCATTTCAGTCTTTTTTTTTTTTTAGAACCGAAACCACCGCCGAGTTAGAGTTCCTCAGCTCAGGTACAAGGGATCCGTCTTTCGACATTGCATCTTGCACCTGGCGTTGGGTGGCCGGTGGGGACTTAAGGTTAGGTACGGTTAGTCCCCTTTACTTTATGTACGTCCCTCCCGGTGGGGAGGTATCCTCTTCCAGAGGGGGTTAGATCCAGTTTAGCTAAAATATAACTAAAAACCTGGTCTCTGTCCTAAAAATCCCTATCCAAACCCTACACTATAACCTGTCACAACAAAACACTCCGTCATTTCCACATCCATCACATACCTTTCCTCGCACATGACTCATCATTTCAGTCTAGCTGCTACTTACCTTTGACCGAAAAACATTCATTTATTATCTCATATCGTTTTGTACAATTATAAATTGGAATAGGCGAAAGAAAGAAGCTTGTTTAATTAAGTTGTTACGGATAAAACGTGTCTTTTAAGCTGTCGGCCATGTGTCGTTTGTTTTAAGAATCACTGCGCTCCCTGTGTCTTCACCTGTCATATACTGGCTAGTGTCATGAGGGTTGCTCGACCACAGGGATATCTTTAATTATTAATAACTAAAAAATGAAGCCTCAAATGCAATTTCTTTATTCTTGACTTTCGCCATATTCAAGCTTATAGAATCACCTCTTACATTTTCTACCACCAGTTGTCAAATACCCTGTAAACCCTGTAGTGGAAGATATTCATTGGCTTGGCGCAATACAATAATTAAACAAATACATAGTTTTGTCTAATAGAAAGGGAATTTTATTCTATTGCGATAATGTTCTTACGCATCTTGAAGGACTCAGTACAAGTTGAATACAATAGGATAGAAAATAATGTCATCTCTCGTATAATTTTGACTTCGCATCGTCTACTTAAAATCTAATAAAATTGTTCGACAATTTATTAATAAGAAGAAACTTTAACGTTGAGAATCAATTTGCGAATATACTGGAAGAATATTTAAATCGCAAGAATGAGAAATTTTACATAAAGGGGATAAATAAATTGCTGGATACTTTTAGACAATTATAAATAACGGTAAATAGTATACCACAGATTAATTCATAAAAGTTTCATTGAATCAATTTCCGATCAATTTAATAAATATAAAATTCTATACTTCGTGAACGAAGTATACCTTACTTATAATTTCATTATTACATTTAGTTTAAATTCTAACCACTACTAATGTTGTAATCTTATTCTATACTGAATCGGTAAAGATGGAAGCGATACGAAAATGGTAAGGGGGCTCGTGAACCCCCAAGACTTGGGACAAAAAAATGCATTGAAAATAATAAAAAAGTTACTGTCTTCCGTAGTTGTATTAAATAAATTACCATAAAAAGTTAAGAAACAGTTAATTATATTTAAAGAAAACAAATTTTATAAAATTGGCCAATAAAGTCATTAAAAATACGTCAATACATTTTCTTTCTATCAATATGTAAGAAATTTACAAACAATAAAGTCTTTATTTAGTTGTTATAACTTTTCAAATGATAATTAATTAACTATTTTCATAAAAATATGTAAATGACTGTGAATAAAGTTGTAAAAAAGGTAGGTGTAAAAATATGAATATTAGTACAAAGTAATAATTGTATGTATGGTGTTACACACAAATTCAAATAATCAAATGAGCCAATCAAATTCAAAATATTCAAATTTATGTATTTATATTTATACAGATATTTGTATTTGCTTTAAGGGCTTTTATCTATTAAAGTTATAGTCGATTTAAATACTATTAAAATGATAGTCTATAAATCGATATGTCACATGATTTGTAAGCTCCATATCATAATTCCTTATTTAAAAGGAATTTTTCATATGAGGCCCAGACATTTGAGACGATTCTTCCGTCTATTTTACCCGATCCTCTCAGTCGGACGACACACGGCAATGACATTAATGTCACACGACACAGTGGCAGGATGTAGTTAATTCAGATCGGTTGTGGTGTGTGACTCACATTATATGCGTGCGCGCGACTCATCTCGATGTGACAAAAAGAGAGAGGAGGTTACTACCAATAGTACAGTGCTGTAAAGCGCATACACGAGTCGCCTCCAAGCACTAAGGTCACATACACGAGGTTTGACCTTAGCCCCCAATTTGTTTCTCAACGATCAAGTCGAGGAAATCGTTTTCACAGCCTTCTTCACCGCGATAGCTACTCAATGACTATGCCATACAGGTGTATTAACATTAATTATTATAATCTTTTTTGCTTAAATTTTTGTAAATATTCAAAGGTTATGTTTCGCTGGAATAGTCAAAAAAGCCTATTAAAAGTATTTACAATTTTTCTTGTCCTAATTCTTAAGAAAAGTTTGAAATATTTGGCAAGCAAAGAAATTACAACAGAAAAGAAATTCTGTAGTAATAACAATTATCTAATCATTAGCAAGTAATATGAACTGAAATAATGTTAAGTAATGTTAAACTTAAGCCATGTAAAAGTAATGTAAACTGAAATAATGTCATGTAATGTCAAACTCGAGCGATGTACAAAGTGTTATTTTTCTCTATTATCTTGTTTATCAGCACTTTTAGTAACGCAATAGTATGAAGTTAATTTAATATTGATGCTACTTACAGTTAATTGAATATCGTTAGTCTTATTAGATTGATCTTTTTCGCTTTTTCTGTTACTAGTTAGTACAACATAATCACAATTAATAACTTAAACTGCTATATTAAGCATTTATATGTATTAAAAGAGAAAGCTTAAACTAAAGCTCTAAAATTGAATTTACTGAACCATGTGAAGCAATAATGATAAGTGGAATGGTAAGCTAATAATCCTAGTAAAACCACCTGTTCTTGGAGGCCAGTTGTGTTAAGTTTGAAAAACGGACAGTAGATCGCGCCACTAAACTTTGATTACTTTCACTGTCAATCACTACACACTAATCTTTTATCGCTTTATTATAATGCAAAAAATATATATAACTATCATTTTTCACTTTGTAAAAATGAAGAACAGTTTTGTCTTAAAAAAAATTTGATCTGTAAATGCATTAGATAGATAATTGTTTAAACACTTGTACAGTTACATTCAGGTAACATTACAACCTGCCACGTCATAATGGATACTGTTAAATGTTTGCTATCGTATATTTCTAACCAAAAATTTCATAAAATCACTTTTATGTATTTACATTTCTACCATTTTCAATTAAATTTCGTATAATATCTTGTTTGAAAGAAAAGCCTTTAAAATATATGACTTTAAAAAATAATATTAGAATAGTCATAATTTAAAATACAACGGAAGTGTTATACTTTCTGGTTGTAATTCGAACGTTAGATTACTACCATCAAGCATTGAAATCTTCGTACTCGTTGATTTTAACGGCTGAAAACCTGTTTAATCCGCTGCAACCTGAATTTAACAAATACAAAGACCCTGTAACAGGCGTGGCATACGAGAGAACACCACAATTAATACCACACCACGACAATTTATATTTTGAGATTATAAAGTACTTAAAAGTTTTTGCAAATTAAATTTTACGGGGATTTCAAGGAAAATTCAAATAATCATGATCGATGTTAGCAGGAAAATTCCTAAAGGAGTGATCGATGCTTATATATAACATCACGCATTGGCACCATGAACTCAACACAGCGACGACAATGAGAAACAACACTATGACAATACCGTGCACGTGCACGGTAGACACGTCATGCGAATGGATGGTTGATGACCATGGTGGGGGTTTAAGGAGGGGCAGAGAGAAAGAGAAAGTGACAAGAAAAGTGCAGAAGGGAACGAGATGGAGAAGAAGCCTGCACGGACGAAGTGTGCCTAGTCAACCTGGTGGCGCTGAACAACCAACTGTCGGCTACGGAGAAGCTACCAGCCGACCTCAAGGAACTCACGGATTCGGTGCGGCGAACCTGCAGTGCTGTCGATCGGGTTGTTTCACGTTTACTTTGGATTGTTTTCGTGTATTCACCATAATCGGATTTCGAGTAATACGTGAACAGTGCGTAAATTTCAATTAAACGAAACAATCGTTTACCTGGCGATACACGATGGTCAGCAAAGATCCGAAGATGGTTACCCCAGAGCTAGCAAATCCCTATGTTAAACCGCCAAGCATATCAACCAGCCAATCTCTCAAGAATTTTCTTTATAATCGGGAGACCGGTGCTTTTTTTGGCAGAACAGCCAGTAGCTGGGGTAAGTTGTGTATATTCAATTGTGACGAACCAAACAAACGGAATTTACGAATCTTGGTCGCTTTGATTGATATAATAGTTTTGCAATAATAGTTTCTTATTTTTGAACTTCAATTTTAATATTTAGTTTATTTCTTGTATTATCGATATGTGTGTATGTGATAATATAACTGAAATGTTAAAATTTCGACAGTTTATTTCTTTCAATAAATTTCGATTTAGCAAATTCAAAAAAAGTTAAACAATTGTTCCTTATTATATTTATTGCGAATACCAGTAATTCGAAAACTTTTTTTCATGCCGAACATGCGTGCGTGTAAATGTGTAGTATACATTTCTTAAAGTGCGCACTAATATTTTGTGCTTTCTAAACCGGTTTTTTTCAAAATAAATACTGCGTTCCCAATGTCGTGAACTTATTCTATTCTCCATTACTCAGCTAAATATTCCACAATGTTAGCTAACGGTAAAAATACGAATTATTAGTAATTTATATGTACTTTCATACTTTTGTTGGTTTGTCTTCGAAAAGCAAAATAAGAAGGTAAATGAAACTGGAAAGAAGGAAAAGAGGTCTATTGTTTTGGATAACTGTTTTCCAGGCAGGTGAATGGGGACAGGTAGAACCTACAGTAAACACGTAAAAAATTTTTATAGGAAGTATCAGGTTATACAAATGACATAAAAAACAGTTTAATATGCGATGCCAACACGGATTCAGAAAGCTTTACATATTAGAATTTAAGGTTAGTTTATTGAATGTACAAAAATACATCGCGATATATTCTATCGATATTTATAGATGTTATTTATATATATATTAAATACCATTTAGAAAAATTTTTTTGTAGTTTGAAATGTCGTTTCATTCATTGCAGTTTTAAATTATATTTGAATTTGTTATTGCATAGATTATAGTCTTTAATGTGTTAAAAAATTTCGATTTAATGCGTTTATTATTAGATGTTCAATAATTGTTTAAATGAAATTGACGTTGTTTCAATTAATAACAAGAATATAACGTTAAAAGTTAAAGTATGATAAGTATATCTTAATTGATATATAGTTTCAGTAGAAACTGTAATACAGTTGAATGGACACGTGTTCAGCACATTAAATTCATTCAAGTGTTCGAAAGTACTACGAGTGTAGATAAAAAGATTCAGGTAACTTTAATTGTAAGTTATAATTACCATTGTCTTGTTTAAGGCGAATAAAAATTTATGCGTAAAACTGACTTGATGAGAAATTTTTGTTTACATTTTACTTCAGATAGATCAGCTTGAAGCACGAATAAAGTTTTATCATAGACCAAAAATTGTTTTCTGTTAATTTTTCTATTATCACTTTCTTGTTCTGTGTCAAATAAAATTTAGTTATACATTACTAGCTTACTTTAATACAAAAACCTTGTCAACTGAACAAAAAGATGGTAATACCAGTAAATTTGGAATTACGGATTGGACTTTATTTAGTTTTTATTCAATGTTGTACTATTTAGATTGAAGAAACAAAATTTTTTTGGATTAGTTGTACGTACATATTTTATTCAACTTGTCTTTGTCTAGCAAAAAAACTGTTCATCTTTTTTTACGTTTAAAACGTGAAATAATTCAGTCTATTGTTTTCACATGACTTTTTTATGTTATACCGGTATCTTTCAACGAGTTATGTGAGAAATGCAGTTATAAATACAATTTCAGTAGTATGTTCGTACAGATTTCTCTTCTTTCTTTTATAAAAATGGAATATTTACCTAAAAGTGTTTTTAAAAACATTGGTTACATTTATTTAAACAATTTTATATGGGACGTTAACTTCATTACGAAATTTCATTAATTTGTTCAAAGAATAAGGAAAAAATTGTAATAAATGTAAATGAATGGAGCATCATGAATTTACGTGATGTTATTACATTACCAATCACTTGGTTGACATAGTAACAGTTGGAAACACGCTATAAGAAGGTATGAGGGAACCCCATAAAGCAGCAGTATTGAACGCCATATTAGAACAGAAATATTACGTGTTTAACACTCATTCTTGACTCTACTTTTTAATAAAATAATTGCATTTACTAATTTCTGAATTTGTTTTTTAGTAAAAAATTATGATTCCTTACTCACTTGAATAAGTTTTTTGCTTTGAACGCGTAGAACGTATGTATGTACATATGCATATAGATTTATGTTCATATGAAACAATATACGCGAGAGACGATGATTATTATCATCATTAGTTTACATCGAAATGGCTTATAATATATCATTTTAAAAAATTAAGTGATTTTCAATTATGTGTAATGTTTATTATTAGGGCAATATATTTTAATGTTATTTAGGTGCTCTCTTTCATATAGATATTATCATTCATCATGTATATTTTAGGACAAATGAAGTTAAAGTTAGGTCTAAAGTTAAAAAAAAGTTAGGTTTAAAAACAGTATATAGTTTTAAAGTATTCACCTTGACACTTCAATGTGGATGCGTTTCTTGGAAATTGATCCTTAGTACATGTGCGATCAGTTGCTTGCAACCATTTCATAGAAGACCCGCAAAACCGCAAAAAAAAGTAGAGATTATTGTGCGATTACGTCTTCTTATGCTTAATTAGCTTAGAAGCCTGTCGCTGCTTTACAGTTTCTTGCAAATTGCATTCACTGTCAAAATAAATGAATTCCAGGATTTATCCATGTCTCGGAACTAACCTCGATACGGTGTTACCCTTGGATTGGGTACTAGCTTCAACCACTTCAAACCTCACCTCTTTACCGACATATCGATTTATCGACGTATCATAAAGTACCGATATTATGTTACAAAAGTTTTCGTCATTTGGTTTAGCTTTAGTCATTCTAGGTTAAGTATTATTTGTTTAAAGAGTAGACAAGTAAGAGTACTTCCGTTTACTTCTTACTGCAATTATAAAAAATAAATAAAATATTAAGTGATGTTATATATATGTATGCGCGCTTTCATAAAAAGAATTCAAGTTTGAAAGAGTTTAGACCTAGGTATAACGAGGACGAATAATTTGGCAAATGTAAAAGATCGAATTTTCCACGGTTTCGCATCTGGTGCGTAGGCATATACATTCTTGATCGATTTGGCCAAAACAAAGGGGTGACAACAATAAGAAAAAAGGAAGGGAGAGAAAAAGACGGAAGCGCGAAGCGTGGCTAATTCGCAGTGCACACAACGGTTTGCCCGGCTGAATGGCAATTGTTAAACTTCCTTTAGCGCAAACGCGTACAACGAGGTCAATTGGCGTTAAATGGAGGCATTACGACATTATGTAACTTAGGGCTATTCCGAAGGGTACACCCACGCGACCATACCATAGCTTACGTTCACCATTGATCCTCTGGAAATCTCTAAAATTAATTTTGAATTCGGCGCGTAACAATTCCTTGAAATTAATTCTCAATTTATTAGCTTTATTCTCAAGATTTCCTACAAAGATACGAAATACAATGATGCTTGATCCATATGAGACTTGACATAATTTTAGCTAACGGAGTAATCTGTATATGTATTTATTTTTTAAGCTGAATACAGTATTTTTAAGGTAAACAGCAGCAACAGAGAAGAAAAACGTAGTCTTGTAAATTCTTTTTTTCTTTTGTAGAATGCATGAATTAAAATGTAAATATATATTAGAATTAGGAAAGATGCGTTTCTTCAGGAAGAAACGTTTTATTACACCGGTTCCGTAACATAACAATACCTAATCTAAATTTTTAAAAACGCTAAAATATAAAAGTAAAATAAAATAAAACGGAAATATCCATAATAAGACGTAAAGTGAGAAATATTAAACATACACAAGAATAATGGAAATGTTGTTTATATTAAATTATACGCATTTATGTAACATTCGTAAGACCTTCAGTGGCTTAAAAATTCATCACGTATCCTCTTTCTCTACAATTCTTTAGGCCAATTTTCGTACTTGAACAAGTATGTACAAATATTTATAAAGCAAAAGAAGTTAGAGAATCAAACAAGTGTGTGTTGTGCAGTTCGTAATATATTTAACTTCAATTCAGAATACGTTGAAATGGAAATTTTTATCGATGTATTCAAATGGTTTCTTCCATAGTTAGTCATTGAATTTTTCTCTCGATTAATCCTTTTTCAATATGAACGTATACATATACGTGCATTGTGTGTTCTCGTCCTTCCGCGAAGTATACCTGATGTTGCACATATCGTATTTCACGTAAACACATTGGTAATAAAATATACATAGTTAACCGTCAAGATTCCGCTGTTCATCTTTTCTTGGGATTCTATAAATGTATCGTAATAATAAAGAATATACACTGTCGAGAAATGTCACGAGAATTTTACTGCTTGACAATTGCATACTTAATAGTTAAAAATCTTAGTCTCCCATAAAATATACAAGGTATACATATATAACTATTCTTGTTGTCACTGTATTTATAAAAAGACTTTATTATGTAATATGTAAAATACTATATACGTGTTGTTCTCTTTTTCACGTATACCTTTTGTATACATTTTTATTACATATATTATACAAAATTTTAAAAAATACATTATAAGAATGAAAAAAAAATCTAAATATTCTCATAATGAATTGTTCCAAATTTTGAGAATAAAATATTTAACAATACAATGTATATCTTCGTTTAATATATGAATTTTAGTTTCATTTTGTCTTTAATGACTGTACTTTTTCATATTTTATATATATCAAGAAAATTGAATTTAAAAGTAAACTATTCTAAATTTTCAGCGAAGAACAATTATATTATTTTACTCATCAAGATGCTTTTTATAATATAATAAACATTATATCTAAATAACAGTTTTTACGTTCTATTTATAACGAATCTTACGAAGAGCCGTGTCGTTATAATTATTTTCTTTTTTCTATGTCAAATTAAATATTTCGGAATTGAAGTAAATAGTTATTATTTCAATTTAAGGCTAGATTTTTCTTTGGATTAAATCTTTAATACTAATCAAAACCTGGTTAAAAAAAAACTATAATGTGCCAATCAACTTCTATGTTAATTGAAAAATTAAAGGCGTAAATGTTAAACGAATTTTTAATTTTAATCTGGGGAATTAGCATTTATTCTGGAGAATACTTGTTAAATTATCAAAGTATTAAAAGAGAAGCTATTTTGTAGAGAAAGTAGATTCCGTTTTTATTCAGAATTTCTTTTTGTTATTTTTGAAAATTGATGAAATTATATTGTTCGACAGTGCGTCAAACGATGCTTTCGAAATCTTTATTATGAGCAAAATGTTAAAAGTGTATGCCGCAATGATTTTTAGGATATGCCAATGTCTGACACATCTAATGGAATTAATCGACACGTGGTGGCACATCGCGTAATTTAGGTTAATTGCATTAATCGTTGGCTCAATTCAAAGGAAGATCCGAGCGTGTGATCAAGTGGAACAATTCAATTATGTACCGATTCAATGTCTAGCAAGGTCGCTTCGTGGATTCCGCTCTTCACTGAAATGACCTCTTGACTAGTGCTTTGGAAGTAAGAACTTTAACCCTCTAGCTTGTTGAAATAGTTGACCAAGTTATATTTCAAGAATTATATACTACTGTTGCTAAAACAGAGAACGATAACGAAACTTCATTTTTATTCCTAAATTGTACCAATAATATTACCAATAAACGGTAAGAAAACACCAATATAGTCAACGGGCGGAAATAAAGGAAAAGTATTGTATAAACACATGTTCAAAAGTGCTTTTATAGAAAAATTATCATTCTTGCATTAATTTCTTTCAAATGTTAATTTAAAAAAAGGTAAAAGGAGCTCAAACATAAGTAAATTAGGTTAATATTATTAACCTATTCCAGTAACAAGCCCGTTAATATTTATTTTTTCGCGTTTAATATTTTTACTTCAAAAGGAAACATTTTTAGACATATGTTTATATAAATTGTTTTGGTTTATTCCTATTTATTGATTTTATTGAGATAGTTTAATTATTTAATTAAAGAGACATCCTGTATAATGCTCAATGCAATATTTGTTTATGCAGGAATAAATGTAAATTATGCTTAACAAATGTAGCTATTACGTAATGTGCTTTTTTCCAAATAAAACGTAATAATATGAAATTTTGTTAAACTCGGACGAAAATATAGAGATTCGGATGTAGTGCAATTAAGAGCTTTGTCGTGTCGTTAATTACCGTGTTTCAACAGTAAAAATTATTCAAGTGTTTCACAACTCCTTTCTGAGCTCGACAATTGCAAAACAAATAAAATCAAGTATATTATCAATCGATAATATTTCACGCGACGCAACACAATATTCATAGGCTTACCTTTTCAAATTTAGATATAGCTCTGTTTAACGGAATTTTTATGGTTTTCATAAGAATTAATTTATTAAATTGTGAACGTTCCCCACAAAATTGTTCCGTAGATTTAAGAAAGTATTGAAAACTTATTTTCGTTTTTTCTTTCACTGTTTCTCTGCTGTTTTATGGGTGAAAAATTGATTAATGAGAAAAATTAAATATAGTGCTTATCCAATGAACTATGATTAAATTTCCTATATGCCGAAAATTTGTGTTTCTATACATTTGCGACATACATATTTATTTATGTTGCTAATAATAAAAAGCCTATTTCGAGATTGAAAATCTTTGATTTTTACTGTGAATTTGTCTAAATTATATGTAGTTCAATTTTCATCTTGTAACAGCTTTCAAGATATTTTATCTTGTGGCAACTATGAGTAAATAAATCCTTAAAGTTCAACACTTCCTATAACCTACGTAACAAGATTAACGATTCGAACCATTTTTTCATTATTGGTACTGTATTAATATGTTTATCAACTCGAGTATATTAATATAAATTAAATTCAATATAAGTTTCATTGAATTAAAATTTTTGGTTTAATAACAATTTTTAAAATAATTGTCAATATCAATTACTAATATTAATGACTAATAATGTTGTTCGTAATTAGTCAAAAATTCGAACAACTGAAACTATTCCTTTCTCATCGGCTGGCTGAAATTATTCTTTTTGCTTAATTATTGTTAATTCGTCTCGATTATATTTACTCGAGTCAATTGTTCGTATCAATTGTTAATATTAGCAGTTTTAATATTTACGAATAAAAGTGTCAATATTAAATATGAGTGCCCTTTCTGTATTTATTCATATCCGTGTTTATATATTCTGGTAGAAATATTAATAACTTCAATGTTAAACTATACACATATATGTATGTTAAGAACATATATTAACAGGGAAAAGTTAAATAAACAGTGAAATTTTAAAGTTGATTGTAAAAGGAAGATATCACAAATGTAATATTTGTTACTACATACATGAATAGAAATTACAGAAAAGAATAACAAGATTTTATTCCATGATTAATAATTTGATAGCATAATGATGCAAGTTTATCAGTAGAGAACTTATTGAATTTTTCTTACAGGTAAAATAGGATTGTTCTATTTGATATTCTATGGTGTGCTGGCTGCACTTGTTGCAATTTGCTTTTGGGGTTTCTTTCAAACCTTAGATCCAAGGATACCGAGGTGGCAGTTGGAACGTTCAATAATTGGAACAAATCCTGGTAAGACACAAAATTTTTAATAAAACAATTACATATGAAAATTTAGCATTATTTATTGTTGCTTATATATTACTTACCATACTTTTATTTATAGGTTTAGGTTTTAGACCACGGCCACCACTGGAAAATGTGGAAAGCACATTGATTTTGTACAGAGGCACTGACAGTGAGAACTTCAAATTCTGGGTTGACTCTTTAGAATTGTTCCTGAAAGGTAGCATTTTATGCATTATGTGTTGTTGTGGCATTAGTTTGTGCAAAATGCTTAATTACTGTACATCATTGCTTGTTTAATATTTTATCGGTAGAGTTAGGTATGATGAACAAAGGTAGACTGTTATATTTTATTTTAAAACTGGTGTATTGAGCAATTTGTTTTTTACTACAATTCCATTATACCTTTGTTCATTACTGTATCTCTGAATACCATGTTCATTCTTGTTAAATTTTATAAAAATCTTTAAATATATAAAATTGGTTATGATATGATTGATTTTGACTAATGGATATAGGAAAAGAAGAATAGAGTTTAAAAATTAGTTATTAGTTGTAATTTTATTATAAGTAATGGTCTAATGTCTAAAAAGTATTTGGTATAGGTAATACAAGATTGTAAGTAGAGAAAAGATAAAGTTGTGGATAGTTAAAATCAAAGTGTATGAAAGAGATGGAGGACTGTGAAAATGGATAAAAAGTGTAACTGAGTCATAACTAAATTATTTATTACTTAATGGGGAAAGGTGTTTCTAACTTTTACAGTGCACAATTCTGAAATATTCCTTAATTCTTAATTTTAAAGTTATCATGTTTCAATGGTTTTGTTTTTCTGTCAATTTTCTAAAGTATAGATTTGCTCGGTCCACGCAACTGGACTCTTTTCGGCGATTATCTGTCAGAGATAGTTGTTTAATTGCTTGAGTGATACATTAACATTACTAAGTAACAAATTATGAGAAAAATTGGGAGTATGTTATTCGTAAAGCATATTTTAGAAATATACTATATCTTAACAATGCATTATAAACTATATAGCTATGATTTTATTGTGAATAAAATTGTGTTTGTTTCGATTCATAAACAAATACAAATATTTAGGAGACATTGTCTTCCAACAGGTCCTTATTCGTAAGCCGCATCGTTTATATTATTTTCACAATCATTAAAATCGATATCAATTTTTCAGATTATATAACGCCCGGCTCAATTCCCGGTCTTGGTGCCAATATTAATAAATGTGACTACAATCAACCACCGCCTCCTGGTAAAGTCTGTGACGTCGACGTTAAAAACTGGTATCCTTGTACTAAAGAGAACAAATACAATTATCATAAATCAGCTCCTTGCATATTCCTCAAGCTTAATAAGGTATTTTCTTGATTTTTCTAAATTAATACTGTTTATTAATTACATTTAACATAAACTGTGAAGAGAATTAAGTTGTATTTAAATCATTCTTAGTATTTTTCAAATTCTGTTTTTCTGTGGTCAGTGTACAAATAAATCGACGAATATATATTTTCAGATATATGGCTGGAAACCGGAGTTTTATAATGATACAAAATCGTTGCCAGAGGACATGCCTGTCGACCTTAAGGAACATATCGACAAATCAAAAAATACTTATCAGCTTGACACTATTTGGGTGTCTTGTGAAGGCGAAAATCCTGCAGATCAAGAAAATATAGGACCAATTGAGTATATCCCACGAAGAGGTTTCCCTGGTTATTTTTATCCTTTCGAAAATTCCGAGGGTTACCTCAGCCCGTTAGTAGCTGTTCATTTCGTTCGACCTCGCAGTAAGTGTTTGAGATAAATATCAGGAAAATATAAAAAAATTTCGTAGGAGTGATTTTATCAGTGTTTGAAATTCATTTTCGAATCAATGATCTTTGGCAAATTCTTATGAAGTATAAATATAAAAAAAACATACAAATATCAATATGTATGATTGAAAAAAATTTTTGTTACAGCTGGAATTTTAATAAACGTAGAATGTAAGGCGTGGGCGAGAAACATAAAACACAGCCGCCATGACAAAATGGGTGTAGTCCATTTCGAGTTGATGATAGATTAACACCGTTTACATATCTTTCTCTGGCCTCACCTTTGTTAGCGTACAGAAACTGAATGTGAATCTCATATATATATTCTGACTCTTCGACGTAACAGGATGCTGTTGAAACGACGAAGCCATCAGAAATCAATGACCGCTGCCAAAGTGTGGATAAAACTTTTGTCAAGTACAAAGTTAAGAGGATTTTTGATGATTGCACCATCTAAAATCGAATTTATATAAAATTTCTACGTACCGAAAAAGAACATAGAGTTCTATGCTATTGTTTTAGCGTTTTATGTCTTTTATCTGGTTTCATTTGACGAATCTAATAAACTTCAGTGTGTAATGAAGTTATAATTAATCGAAGCAAATAGTGCCTTATTTGGGATTTTAGTTTAATTTGTAAAGTAAGGTAGTACTAATATGTTTTTAAAAATTCTTTATTTAGATACATTAATTTTAATTCAAACAATAATAATCATAAATTGAATCTTCTACAAGACCTAATTTTAGTATTTAAGAAATGAATGGTAATTATATGCTTTAAGGTAATTGTATGTGCTTTGCGGTTAATGAGACGTTGGATAAACCATAATTGCTTAAAAACTATTTAAGTTACTTGTTACGATAAATTTCGAGTCTTGTCCTGAAAATTCGTCCCTATTAATGTCTATTGAGAATAGATCTCTTACATAAAACAAAACACACACACACACACATACATACACACACATGTATTTCGCTGCTGAAATAATGTATCGTATATGTATACATATATTTTTATAGATAAGACGTTCTTGTTTTAAACTACAGATTTTAATCATTTATTTCTGTAGCAAACAC